CCCTACCTTCCTCCTTCACAGACGGAGAAATTCGGGCTCAGAGAAGCACTTGGCAAGGTCACGTGGCTGTCCCTGTCCTCGTGGAGCTCAGAGGAGCCGGAACAGGGGACGACATCCAGGTGGCCGCACTGCGGTGTGCTCAGGTTGCGAAGTGATTGTGGCTGTTCCACACACAGTGTAAAGAACACGCACCTCATCTCCCCCTCACGCTGGCTGCCGTCTTTTCTTTCACTTTGCCGGTCCCATAGACAAAAGGACATCTCTCTTTTGGGTTTGATACTTGGGCCCAGTATTTTCAAAAGGGCTTTAGTCCTTGTCTTATCTCCAAAAGAACTTTAAAATCTTTTAATCCTATTTATTGTCCTTATTTTTTTCCCCCCAAAGAAATGTTTACTGCAAAAATTCAACTCAATCAATGGCCCCTAAGTTCCTTTGTCCGAGCCAGGACTAGGCTGAGGCCACGGAGGCACCTGGGCACCAACTCTCAGGATGTGTCACCCTCCAATGCCGCCTGCACCACAGGGACCCTGAGGACAGTTGTCTCTCTAAAGTCTGTGCCCTCGGTACCTCCCTTGCCTCACTCTAGTCCCAGCCTGGATTTAAGGCCACCCCAGTCTATACTTTCTGGGTGTCCCACTGGGCACAGTTTGGTGTCTATTCTTCCAGACATTTACATATATATTTATACAAACACACACACACAGTTGACCCTTAAACAACGTGGGTGTGAACTGCACAGATCCACTTACACGTGGATTTCTTTCAATAAATGCTGTAAATGTTTTTTCTTTTCCTTATGATTTTCTTAACATTTTCTCTTTTCTAGCTGACTTTATGGTAGGAGTACAGTGTCTAACACACATGAGGCACAAAACCTGTGTGAACGGGCTGTTCAGGCCACCAGTAAGCTTCCGGTCAGCAGCAGGATATTAGTAGTTACATTTTGGCGGGGCAGGGGTCAAGGTTACACTGGGGTTTGCAGCTGTGGGGGGATTTGGCTGCCCTGACCCATGTGGTTTAAGAGTCAACCGTGAATATTATAATGTGAATATTATAAAGCACATTACTTACATATATTAACACATTATAGTTAATAATGTTCACTTACAACACATTAAATTACACTTCATAATTACATCATTACATATACACTTAGTAATACATATTGTAATAAATGGTAATATTTATGTTTATAGAAATGTATCCTTGGACATCTCATATCAATACTTGCAAACTAATCTCACTTTAAGACGGCATGTTTTGTAATAGTTATACCCCTCTGTTATAATTATGGCATATATTCTCCCAGTTTTTTAATATGTAACTTGGTTTTATTTTTAACTTTTTAAAAATTAGCATTAAGTAGATCAAATTCTCACTTTAGGTATATGTTTTATTGTTTTTATGCTTACAAAAATAGTAAAATATTCAGTGATACTTCCGCATGTCTTTTCACATTACTGAGCTGTGTTTGGGTGCACGGTGTGAAAGCCGAGCCCTGGCTGAATTCTCTCTAAATAATCAGTATTCTCAGCATCACTTGCTAAATGTTAATTCCTCCCTCTCCAGACCAGAACACTGACCATCAGAAGCACTTAGGTTTGAGAACCCGATGGGGACCGTCTGGGCTGATCCTGGCTCAACCGGCAACAGCTCTGTGGTGGCCAGGCTCCTGGCAGCCACGGGGTTGGGGGGGAGGCAGGTCATGCCTCGGGGTGACGGAGGAGCTTTGACTGACATCGCCCACAGCCTGGTGCAAGGTTTTCTTCTCCCTCTCAGCACAGAGATGAGCCAGTCTTGCTGAAGGAGCACCTGGGCGCCGCCGGCCCTGCCAGGTGGTCCTCACCCTAGAATCTGCACCTGAGTTCCTTGAGTCATCCTCAGGGACCCCCGGGCCAGTGCCCCACGGACTGTCCCCTCTAGCTTCTTCTCCTCACCTTGGCAGAGGGCCCCCTCCTCTGCCTTGTGTCCTCCACACTTCTCTCCCTGTCTGTGACCCACTCCTGCACACACACCCGCCCAGGCAGCAGGGAAACCTGGAGGGGAGGGGCCGGGGAGGTGAGCAGAGAGCCTGGACCATCAGCCCTGTGCCCCCCAGTGACCCTCGAGGAGGCCACTACGCCCCACGAATGGGTGCCCTACTCTCTGATGCAGTCACTGAGGCTCTAGGACCTGGGACCCCAAGTGCACAGGGCCTCTCTCCCCATTGAGGAGACCGTACTGCTGGGGTCCAGTCGGAGCAAAGGCCCAGGGTGGAGGGGCTAGCATGAGAAGAGAAGGGCAGTTGTTTTCCCTCTGGGGTATTAATGACACGCCCCCACGCCCCATCCCCGTCCGAATCCGGGCAGCAGAGTAGGGGAGAAAGCAAGCACTGGGGACTGGCCAGGCTGGGTTGGATACTCGGGAGAAGCCAGGGCCTGCATGGTTGTGGGCCGTCCAGATGCAGGACAGAGGAGGCTGCAAGCCAGGCCCCGGTGCCAGCGGTAAAAGTTAAACTGACCATTCTGGAGTTCAGTTTAGTTCTCAAGCAGGGTGCATGAGTGTGTGGGTGGGGACCAGCCTTTGTTCTCACAGGTCAGCCCTGAGGTGGGCAGGGTAGGAGATGCTAGGGAAGGGATGGGTCACCCCGCAGCTTCCCTGAACTGGGGGCGGCTTGGGGAGCCAATTTCAGGGAGAACTAGGCCATGCTGGGGCCCAGGAGACCTCTGGGTGTCTTCTTCGGGCTGCAGCCTGGGTGAGCCTTCCCCGTCACAGCTGCCCTACAAGGGCACAGGTCACACAGGCAGTGACTTCCTCCCATCCGAGGTCCTTCCCGGAAGGCCCTGAAGGCACGACCCCTCACTGGGCTGACAGTGAGGAGTTGGCATCACAGGAAGAGAGGAAAAGGCCCCCTCAGGGACTGGAGCCCAATCTGGGGCCTTCGGCTTACAGATGAGGAAACTGAGGCCCCAGAGGTTAATGGTTCACCCAAGGGCTGGAACCAGCTGGTCAGTGAGCAACCAGGGGCACGAACCAGGGGCCCTCGTCTTCCTTCAACTGCTAAGGCCTTTGGGCTGGTGCCAAGGCTGCGTGGGTTCCTTGGAGCCCACTCCTCACCCCACACCTGTGGGATGGACTGTACCAGGGCTCCCCCACCTCCACCCCATGTCAAGGTGGTCGGGGAAGAGCCAGCCAAAGGTGGACCGCCTCATCCTAGGAGCCGCTTATGAATGAAGGCACCCCTCAGGCTGTGTCCTTCCACCCCTGCCTGAGACACACCCCTGCCCCCTCCTGCTCATGGCTGCTCACCTTTCAGGTCTTGGAGAGGCCACCCCGGCCCCTGCTGGTCTCCATCCTTCAGAGCACCTAGCACAGTCTCTCACCCGCCCACCCCCTTCCCTCTGCAGTGTGAGCTTCATGACAGCAGGGAGGGATTGTGCGTCTCTTCTCTGTGCGTCCCCAACTTCTAGGCCAGTGCCATTTTGAAAAACTCCTTTAAATATTTTTTAGAGGTTTTTTTTTTGCTTAGAATTTCTGGCATGCACTACTTTTCTTTGCTGGACTCGGTGGCACACCCCGTCCCTCCCCATTGGCCCTGCTAACAAACACGTCTTTCCCAGCCCAGCCCGGCTGCCACCCCCTCCCCCAGGAGACCCGTCCTGAGCGCTGGGTAGGCAGCGTCCAGGGCAGAGGCCAGCTCCTCTGTCCGGCCGGGACCTGCTGTGCGGGGCTTCCCCGAAGACCCCTCCCGTGTGGGAGCTCTGCCAAGGAGCAGAGAACAACCTAGAACGGGGATGGCGAGCGGAGCTCAAGTCACAGACGCCCAGACTCCGGCTCTGGGCCTGGCAGAGCGGGTGGGGGAAGGGACCAGCTGGTGGGCGCAGCCGATTTATCGATGCTGCTGAGAGCCCTGGGGAAATCAAGGTGAAAGGCAGCAGTCTTGCAAAGGAGGAGGCCCGCCCCTTGTTTATCCATCGGAGGGGCTGGGACAGGGCAGAAAGATGCTGGAGGAAGGAGACCACCCTGAGGGCCGGCCCTCCCTCTGGACACCTGAGCTTGGTTTTAGAAAACGGGCTCCCTGGAGCGCAGAGGGCTGGCGGGTGAGAACCCTCTGCACCTGGCATTGCGTCAGGCACCAGGTGGGGGGTGGGGACAGGTGGACTCAGACAGGCTTGCTCCCTGGGAACCTCTCACGCCCTCGCAGGCCAGGGCCGCAGCCTGTCTGTCCCTCAGCCGGCCAGCCGGGGCTGCTGGGGTAGGGGGAGGGGAGCAGAGCTGGCCCAGGAGGACAGAGAAGGCACGACCAGAGTGCGGATGCAGCAGGGACCCTTGGGTAGATGAGAGGCCTGTGGAGCAGCTCCAGGCTGGGATCCACGGGGCAGGGTGAGGGAGACTGACCCCTGCTGTCCCCCGGCCCCAGCTGCCCTGGCAGAGGGGGAGCATGCTCGGCACCCCACCCCCTCCATCCACAGCCAGACGGTCTGAGCAGAGTGATGTCAAGGAGAAAACCCTAAATCGGATTGAGGCTCCTGCTCCCCCTTAATGAGGTTCATTATCAGCTGCTCTGATCCTTGTAAAGCCCAGCAGGCCGGATTGGGGGCAGGCCTCTAATCTGGCTGACTCCTCCTGCTGAGCAGCCGGACCAGGCCCCCCACAAACAAGCCCTCTGCTTGTCAGGGAGCTGGCGACACAGGATGCCAGGCCCAGGAGGGCCAGGCAGGTGCCGACCGAGGTGTCTGCAGCAGGGCAGAGAGGACCTGGGCAGGTGCTCCCCGGGGGTGTGTGCAGGGTCTGCCCTGGCTCATAAGGAGACTGCTGGGGGCTGGGGCAGTCCGGGGGGAAGGGGCCTGTCCAGGAGGAAGGGGCTGTGACTGGGCGCCTTGTCCTCAACACAAGCCAGGAGCTCTGTGGGCCAGGGGAGATCATGTGTGGCTGGGTCCCTCAACGGCAGGATTCTGCACATTCTGCCCAGACCCTGGACACGAGGTCTCCAAGGAGCAAGTTGAAGGATACATGGGTGCTTGCCTTAACAAAAATAATTTATTCCACAGCCCTCCTAAGCAGTGGGCAGAGTGAAAACCAAGCCGATGTACAGCACTCCCTGCCCCTCTGACCCTTTCACCTCCACATGACAGGAGGTGGACCCTCAAGAGAGATGGCACTCCCCTCACTCCAGGGCCCTCCACGTTCAAGGATTAGCATCTATTTTAGAAGTGAAAATCAACAACGACCCTGCTCCCAGAGGGGTGGGTGCAGGGGGAGGAGCCAAAGTGGACTGGAGGCAACCACCCTCTTCCTGAGCTTCGCCCTACCTGTCATGGCCGAGCCCAGAGTAAGGCACTAGTGGTCCAATCCCCCGAAGCTGAACCCCATGCTGCCCCTCCGCCGGGTCCTGCTGAGCCTGCCACTCACGACCCCGGCCCCAGCCCAGTGACCATCGGCCCCCAGCTGGGCAGGCCCACGCCAAGCCCAGCCCGTGAGCTTCCTGCAGCAGACATCTGGGAAGGACCAGGCCGAGGTGCTACAGCCACGGATGGCCCCTGAGAGGCCAGCAGGACTTCCTCGAGCTTCCAGCCCCCACCCCAAATCCCCCCACCCCCAGCCCAGGAGGTCTGAGGGCCGGGAGGACCAGCAACCCCTTCCTCCTCCCGCGGGAAGGGAGCAGGATGGACGGGGCCCCGGAAGGCAGTGGTTCCGCTCCAGCCCACTCAGCCCAGGGACCCGCCTGTGGTGGGAAGCCTTGGAAACCAAGGGAAGACCAAGACCAAGCAGGAGACACTGAAGCTTCAGCAAGAATGAGGCAGGACTTCAAATAAGCTGCAAAAGAGGAATTTGGTGCTGAGAGGCCAGGGACAGGGCCCCGCCCTCGCCGCCCAAGGAGGCCCGCCCTCCCCACGCTCCTTCCCCGGGCCCGAGCTGTCAGGGGGACCTGGACCCCCTGCGTGTCTTCATGTCTCCGAACACTCCTTCCCATGAGGACCAAGGGCTCACTGGGGTTCCCTGGCCAAGGAGCAAGGGGGGCAGACGAGGGCAGGGGGCTGGGAGAGCCCTGTGGGTAGCAGCTCCCTCTCCCGCCGCCCTCCCGAGGCAGGGGGCTCAGGCTGCAGGGTGGCTGGCGTGGCCCTTCAGGGCCCTCACCCGGGTCCGGAAGTAGGTGTACACGGCCAGCAGGCCCATGAAGGACAGGGAGTAGAACACCACACAGAGGCTGACGTCCAGGTGGGAGAAGTTCCCTTCCAGCACCTGCAGCCATGGGCCTTGGCCTGGCAGGGCCCCGGCCTCCGGCTCCCCCTCGGGGACACTGGCCAGCTGCTTGGAGCTGCGGCCCACTCGTCCCAGCGCAGAGGGGCCTCTTGGGACTTTCTCCTGAGCCAGAAACTCGGCCAGCAATCCGGCTCCTGTGTCTCGCTTGGTCAAGGGCCGCTGCCCTTTTGGCCGCTCCACCTCATCCCTCTGAAGCTCTGCTACGTCTAGCTCAGCTCCAGTCACAGCGAGGCTCGTCTGCATCTCCTGGGGGTGGACACTTGCCCCAAGTCTCTCCGCTAAAACATCCTGGACAACAGTCCCGGGGTGCTCTGTCCCTGGGCCTACCCCGATCTCAGCCTCCTCGGGGCCCAGAGTGGAGTTTCCGGTCAGCAGCTCCGGCTTTCGGAAGGCCACCATCCACTGTGCGCTGCCCTGGGGGCCTGGCCCAGCGGGGGCGTCCGTGATGATGTTTTTCCGGGAGAAGTGGGTCTTCAAGAAGCTGAGGGTGTTGCCCAGGTCCCACACAGGCGTCCCCCGGATTTCGTTGTGGCAGGCAGAGCAGAGTTCACGGGGTGGCCACTGCACCTTGGGGAAATGGGGGTCCTCGCTGGGGGCCCCTGGGGAGAGAAGCACACACAGGTTGGCTGGGACACGGGGCCCACTGAGAACGCCAGAGTCCTCCTCTTCGAGGAAGGCTCACCTTGGGCAGGACGGGCCCAGCTGGCGCAGGGCCTGGCCCACAGCGCCCGGGGTGGCTCCCCGGGTGCAGGGGAGTCCTACTGGACCCCTGCACCAGACTCAGGAAAGCGCGAGAAGACTTGGAGGGAGCTTCTGTGCCTTTTTCTGAAAATTTCCAAGTTTTATACAGGGGAGGTATATTACTTTTGTAATTAGAGATAGTTCTTAAAACAAGAGTTTGTGGCCCATAGTCATTCCACAGGTAATCCCACAGCGGCCCTTTGGGGCGGGGAGGAGTTAGTGGAGGTTTTTCCCCAGGTGGGCTGCAAGGGGTGGGTGTGGGGAGGCCTGGGGCTGGACGGAGGAAGGACACTCAGGAGAGGCGGGAAGCTGCCCCACCCTCCAGGCTGCTGAGGCCCGGAGCTGGGCCAGGACTCAGGGCAGAGCCCTGGCTTAGCCCTGCAGGTAGCCCCAGCCCCTCACTCAGGGCCTCCAGGGCCCACCCTCCCGCCCGCCCACCCATCTCTCCAGCAGGAGGCACCTGTCCTGAAGGGTCTGATAGGAAAAAAAGCTGCTGGCTAGGATGAAGCAGCGCCAAATGGTGTGGAAGTCAGACGGTTATTTGGGGGAAGGGGCAACAAGTACATCCCAAGGGTCAGTGAGAAGTAACAGTGAGCAGGCCTCCAAAGTGAGCACTCAGCGGGTTCCTGCCGCTCACGTGATGAGTTTGATCTGAAAGGCGCCACCAGAGAAGGCAGGGGCCCGCCTTCCTTAGGTCCCTCAGAGGGAGGCCCAGGCCCCTGGCCCACCCAGGCAGCTGGAAGCCTGCAGAGGTCATAGGGCTAAAGGGTCAGATGGGCCATTTGGAGGCAGGGCTGGGGCGGGGCCGGGAGGGGTGGGAGGAGTGACAGGCACGTGTCTCCTTTTCCAAGCCCACCAGCAGGCCCCAGGAGACCAAGACCAAGTGCAGCTGCCTGCACCACCTGCTCTATTCAGCTCCCTGAACCTCCCCCGCCCCAGGCCTTATCCCGCCGCTGACAGGTCTGTCCCAGCCGGCACAGCCCTCACTCCCCACAGACAAGCCCAGGCTCCCTCCATTCCCACCAGCTCTGGTCATCACGGGAGTTTAAAGCTTTTCCCTGTTGGATCCATCAGGGTTCCTGGGAAGCAGGAAGCCTGCCAGTGAGGAACCTCAGAAGACAAGCCCCCTACGGTGAAATCAGCCCTGCTATTTCTAGGGAGGGCCCCGTGTTTCTTTCCCAGCACGTTTCACCATGAGCCCCTCCCAGGGGGTGGAACAGCCTAGTTGGCTGTTCCTAGCTGGCTGTTCCTCCCTGTTGGTTTGAGTCAGGGGCCAAGAGCCAACGGGGAGGCAGGAAAGGGACCCCAACAGGTCAGAGGGAGGGACCATGGTGCAGGCAAAAGAGGACGAGGGCATCCGGAGACCAGGGTCTGGGTGTCAAAGTCTCAGTTAACTATCTGGAAAATGGGTCCAACGACACTGACATACATCAGCGGGGCGGGCAGAGCCCGTGAGAGGCTCTGTGCGTGTGAAACGCTGAGACCCGCAGGGTGTCTCCTGGGGGACAGCGGGCCTCCCGCTCTGGTCCAGGACCCCACAGTTCCTCACTTCATCCTCCCTCTGCAGGTGACCCCAGCCTTGGAGGTGGCCCTTCCTTACCTGCAAGGCGGGCATTGACCCTGTTGTGGCTGGACCAGAGCCAGAGGACGGCGTCGTCCCGGCTGCCCACCCGCTGCATGGAGGAGGCAGCCATCTGCTCGAAGTGGTCGGCGCAGTCTCGGCAGCCGAAGAAGTAGCGCACGTAGCCGCGGATGGCCTGCAGGACCTCCTGGGCCTTGGCTGCGGGGCAGAGGGGATGCCATGCACCAGGGCCCTTCAGCCAGCCTGTCCCTGCCAGGCCCACCACAGGCGCGCCACGGTCACCTCTGCAAGGACCCCCCACCCAGCCCATCCGATGAGGGGTACAGGGGCTCCCTGCCAACCTCTCCACCTTCCAAGGGTCACTTTAGAGCTGACTGTCTCCTCCTAAACCTGTTTCTTGCCTCTGCCACTCATCCGGGCCCTTGTCACTCACTAAAGTCCAAACCTGCCAGCAGGACACTCGGGCTCCTTGAGAAGTAGCTAGAGAGGGCAGCAGGGGCCAGAGTGCCCCCCTCACCCCTGTGCCCCTATGTGCTCCCACATGCTCCCCGCCGGGCCTCCTCCCTGTGGCCGGAAACCAGGAGTCCATCCGGACCTGGCGGATCCTCCAGGGTGTCTCCACCTCCCCTCTCCTCAGTCCCTCCCATGGGCCCTCTGGACCCCCAGCAGCCCAGACCCAGTGAGGCCCCCCACCTCTCAGCTCTGGGCTCCTCCCTGAAGACGCCCCTCCCCCCACCAGGCCCGCTGAAGCCCTCCCGTCTCACATACTCCACGCACCTGGGGGCCACAGGCGGGGAAGGAGTCTGGAGCTGTTGCTTCCAAACTCTCTCCTTCCTGCTGCAAATGCCACCCCCCAGCCCTTCAAAAGCCAATCTAGCCTCACCCCGCCATCCCCTGGGATGTCAGCTCGCTGTGCTTCCACCCGCTGGCCACCATGGCCCACGCCCACACCCACCCGTGCCCTGCCTCTCCCCTCTGCAGCCCCCCAGCTCCCACCTCCTCCTGCACCCGCCCCAGCTGCCCAGCACCCTCCGCCTGCCCTGCTGCCGTCCCCACCCCCACCCCTGGCCCTCGTGCCCTGGGCCTCATCCCTTCTCACTTCCTTTAAAAGGGTTTTACTCCTATAAATATCTTCTTTTGTTATTGCATCACCAATTTCTCCCTTAATGTGAGATCATTCCGACTGGTAAAAACAAGTACAATAACGAAATCCCTTCTCCAACCCCGGTTACGCCCCAGAGACGTTCCGTCCTCTCCACTGTCTTCCCTGCTCTTCTCCGGTCGTCAGCCCGGTCAGCCGGGCCCTTCTCGCCAGTGCTCCCCAGACACGGCTCCTGCTGGAAGGGCCACAGTCCCGGCTGCACAGAGGCTCCCACTCGGCTGACGACGCCTGCATGTGTCACTGTTTGGGGTGTCCCCTTGAACACGCAGTGGCTGCTCCTTTGTGGTCTCCTTGGCCGCCCCGCTCACTGGCTGAGGTCCAGGCGCTGCAGGGCCCAGAGCTCAGGCCTGGGCTCTCCTCTCTGCCCACCCCGAGGGTCTCGGCCCATCCCTCAACTTTGTCATCTGTGCGCTAATGATCACAAGGTGCACATCCCTACCCTGTGCCTTCCCCCACCTCCCCCGGACTCCACTGCAGCCCACCCTGCCCCCAGGGATCTTTCTAAGGCACTCATCACTTGCATCATGCCCTGCCTCCACTCTCCAGTAGGTCCTCAGAAGGCTGACATCCGAGCCCCGTGCTCGCCCCTTGACTAGAGCGTTGAAGTCCTAACCCCAGACCTCAGAAGTTGTCTGTGTTCAGACCCGGGGTCTTTAAAGAAGTGATTAAGTTAAAATGAGGTCATCAGGGTGTACCCTGACTGGTGTCCTTGGAGGAAGGGGAAATCTGGACACAGGCCACCTGCAAACCAAGCAGAGGGGCCTCAGCAGAAACCAACACGCCAACACCGGCATCTCGGACTTCCGGCCTCCAGGACTGAGAAAATCCATGTCCGTTGTCCGAGCCCAACTCGCACCACTTGGTTATGGCGGCCCAGGCAAACCAGCGCCGTCTGGAAGGCTCTCTTCCAGCTACACCCCACAGCTGCACCTCTCCTCGCCATCCAGGGTCGACTCCTCAGGAAGGCCTCCCCAGCTCCCTGCCCGACCCCAGCACCCCCTCCCTATGCCCTCCTGTGCCCCACTTTGCTCTGCGCTCTTTCCTGTCTGTCTCTCCAGCCACTGGGATGTCCCCTCGAGGCAGGCGCTGTGCGTCTCAGCCCGCCGGGCTCCCCCTGCTAGAGCAGGGCCTGGCACCTTGGAGGCGCTCCATAGCACTGGCCGACACGGTGCCTGGCTGGCTGCCCCCACACCCTAGTTCCCTCTGTCTCTGTCGGGGATGGGATGCTCTTCCCTTCCTAGCTCAAACCCCTGTTAGACGCCCGACTGTAAAAATGACACAGAGGAAGCCCTTTAAGGTGGAGTCGGAGCTGCCCACCCCCAGAGGAACCGCCTGGCCCGTCTCACACCTCGGGTCTCCGAACGGGCAGCACTGTGTCCACAGGACTGTTTGCAAAGCAGAGACTGTGACTCCTGGACTCAGGGCTACCCAACTGAAGAGTGAAAACATTACTGAGAACAAGCATCTCTGTGTTGGCTCATCCGCTCCTGTAGAAATGCCTTCCTTCTGTGGACGCCATCATTCCCCTGCCCTTTCTCTCGGACACCCCGGTCTCCACTCCCTCCTCAGAACACTGTTGGGGTTTCTGCCTGAGCCAGGTCTCCCCAAATAGCTATTATTTTTTTTTCAAAGCTCAAATAAACACATGTTGCCTCTCGCTCTGGCCTTTTATTTCTAGGTTAACATAACTCGCGTCCGCTTACCCTTCCCAGCACTGGGGGGCATTTCCTCTTTCCGAACACCCTTCTCTTCCCCTTGGCTCCTGGGCCTGGCCATTCCCCCTGCCCACCTCTCTCACAGTGGCCGGTAAACACGGATGGAACTGGGTGCCCCCCTTCAGTCGCTCAGCGAGGGGAAAGGCGGGGTGGGTGGTGGCGCACCACTGCACAGTGTGGGGGCGGGCAGGACAGCAGGGTGTGAGGTGCTTCCCCTAGAAAATGACTTTTCAGTGGGAAGCAAGATAATGGTTCAAAGTACATGGAACCAGCCCCGTAAACTGCGACGCAGACAGAGTTCTTTCTCTATAGGGGAGTGTAAAAATGAAGCCACTCATTTTTCATGAAAACTGAAAACAAAGCAAACTTACAGGTCCATGAAAGCCAGGGAGAAGCTCACGCCCCAGTTTGTGGGGCTCCACCCCGGGGCAGGGGGCAGGGCTGGGTGGCTTCCCCAGGTCCTGCCCTTCTGGTCTCAGGCTGGTTGTATGTGGCTAGAGGCAAATGCAGGCTCCTCTTTTGGGGGGTTGGGGGAGCCCGCAGCAGGGAGCCGGGGGAGGCAGGCTGAGGCCCAGGGGTGAACAGACTCACCTGCTTCTCGAGAGGGGTCAACATCTCTCCGCGTCGCCTGCACCGTCAGGAAGTGGAAGAGCACCCACAGGGAGCAGGGGAAGCCCCGGAAGTGGGGCTCGCTCCCCTGGCAGCCGACCCAGTTCACCTTCTTGGCAATCACAGCGCCCTGAGGGACGGAGACGAACGTGAGTGCACATTCGGACGAGAAAAGGATGGGAGGCGAGAAGAGAAGCTCCCCGGAGACCCAGAGGTTCCGCACCCGGCCCTAAGACCAGCGAGGTCCCTCTCCCGGGCTACCACTTGGAGGTGGCATTTCCCTTCCCCTGGCCACATCCACCAAGGAAGCATTGGAAATGGAGACCAGTGACACAGAACAAGTCACATGCTCATTCTAGCCTCGACTTCTCCATGTGTAAAATGAGGGCTGGTCCCGGAGGTTCCTGCCAGCCCGGTCATCTTGCTAGTCTGCCTGGCTCGTCCCTCTGCAGTGGCCCCCTTGGCAAACTGCGGTGTGAGCAGCGGCGCAGACCGGTGACCGGAGAGCCCCAGAGGAGCCGGGCTAAGTGAGCAGCAGGAGCAGACAAGGTGCTAAACCTCAGTTTCTTTCTTTTTAAAAATTCTTTAGGTTTAAAAAAAATTTTAGAGAGAGGTTAAGGGAGGGAGAAAAAGAGGGAAACATTGATTGGTTGCTTCTACATGCCACTACTGGGGACCAAACCGAAACCAGGCATGTGCCGTGACTGGGAATCGAACTGGTGACGTTTGGGTTTGTAGGACTATGCCCAATCCACCGAACCAGACCAGTGAGGGCTTCACCTTGGTTTCTTCATCTGCTAAATGGGGGTAATATTCATTTTCAACTAATGTTGGGGGATTGATTAAGTAAGATATGTATATAGAGAGCCCAATCAATAGTCATTTATTAATTGTAATGGAAGGACACCACCAAGATCACTGACTCCTCCCTGACTGTAAATTGGTGGAGGTCAGAGGTCAGAGTTTACACGCCCCCAACACACACAGTCACAGAGATGGGACAGGCGCTTCGGCCGCTGCCAGCTCACCTCCTTCCTGTTCTCCAGGGCCGCCTGAAAGAAGGCGTAGGGGACCTTCTTCCTCTGCTGCCTCCTCAGCCAGTCGCTCATGGAGTGCAGGAAGTTCTGGACCAAGGGCTGGCCAGGGAAGTGCTAGGGGAGAGACAGGGGCCAGGTGCAGATGAGAAAGAGTCCCCCAGAAGCCCCCAGTCCCAGGGGGGAGGTGGGCCAAGGTGGGAAAACATCCTGCCCAAGACACACAAGGTGCCTGGTAAGGTGGGAGGAGGGACGGGGGGAGGGGGCGGGGTGGGGGGAGAGGCTGGAGCCCGAAGGCTCGAGGCCGAGCCTCCTGCGCTGACCCCTGACCACCCGGGGTGGACGGCTGAGCGCCTGGTCGTTCCCCGGGGCTGCTGGGAACCCTGGGCCACGCGGCCCCCTCTTCGGGTGATCTTCCGACAGAGCCGCTGGCTTGCTGACGGACTGACCGGCGGGGGAGGCTGACAGCCATCCTTTCACTGCCCCCCTCGGGCTGCCCCCGGGGACGAGGCAGCCCACAGGCTTCCAGCCAAGCCCCCAGTCCGGCGGGGGCTCCCCGCAGTCTGGGCAGCATGAAAAGCTGCTCTGACAATAAGTCGGTTCAAATCTGATTAGTATCAGCGCTTTAAAGCCACAAGGACTCCAGGGAGGGGACAGATATGCGTGTGTGCACACGCTTGTGCACACGCGTGAGTACCCGCACGTGCCCCGGGGACAGCAGCGGACGGGCCGGAGGACAGTGCCGAGACACCTGCAGAGGAAAACCCGAGCAGACAACCATCCGAGAGCAGGAAGGCTCCGGAGGAGGCAATGAGCACAAAACCTGCCAACCAACCCGGCCTTCTGCGAAAACCATCCCCTAATCCTATCAAATTCCAGGTCTGGACACGTCCCCAGGGGAGAAGCAGCCAGAAAGATTCCTGGGCTTTGACACTCCCTCTGGGGCTCTCGGCACAGATTTACAGCTTCAAGTCAGCCTCTCTCACCAACCTGTGCCCATCATGCAACTTGGAACCTTCCGCCTTCCAAGACCACAGTGCCAGGAGGAAGGAGCTCTCCTCGGGCAGCAGGGAAACCCTGGTGACCACACGCCACCCAGTGGCCAGTCCCGCCAGCCACTCACGTGAGAGAGCAGGGAGTGCCCCAGCTGGGGTGGGCAGGAGTGGGGCAGGGATGGGGTGGGGGAGGGTGGACACGACTGTCCAGGGGCCGAGGGAGCACCATTGCCCTTCAGGGTCTCGGGGTCCCATGCACACAGGGGGCAAGGGCACAGGTTACAGGACTCTCGGCCACCCCCTGGCTAGAGGGCGGGGGACAAAGCACTTGCCCCTGTGATGGGAAACCCACACTGTGGAGTTCGTTGTGAGAAATTCGAATGAGCCGGAACACAAAGAGCACTTCCCAGGGCCTGGCATCCTGTCAGAGCTCAAGACACGGCCGCAGCTACTATTGTCACTGCTCAGGGAGAGGCTGCCCAACCTCGGGCAGCACCGGACACTCCGCAGTCTCGGGGGGAGGAGGCACGGCTCAAATGAGCCTCCTGCTCCTAGTCCTGCGTGGGCCTGGCATCTCTCTCTCCTGAGGCCAGCCCTGTCCCTGAAGCCCTGGCTTCCGGCAGGGGGTTTCTTCACCCCAAGCTCACGTCCAGCCCCCGCTGAGGGTCAGGCTGGCAGGCAGCTCCCAAGGCAGAGGTGCGGGCCACCAGAGAGGTGACAGCCCCAGCCGCCCACAGGCCTGCGCCCAGAGGCTCAGACCTGGCGTCCGGTGCTGTGGGTGCTGAGTCAGCAGTGAGGCTCAGAAGGGAACCAGAGCCCAGATCTGACTCCGCAGTCCCCGGTGGCCCGAGCCAAGGGGTTGAGGCAGGGCTCCGCAGCAGCCGATCTGCAACCCGAGAGGACACAGGGAGGGAGCAAGAGGCAGGTGCACAGGGAGGTGGTGGCCCACAGGTCACCGTCAGAGAGGGCCAAGGAGCGCGGCAGAGAGGGGGCACAGGCCCTGGGGCCTGAGAGCTCAGTCCGAATCTCTAGCCCACCTCCTCCTACCTGGGGCGTTAGGAAGCAAGGCCCTTGATCACCCTGGGCCCCTTAACTGCGGGTCCTACTCGCCACCTCACAGCAAAGTTAGAAGCCTGAAATGCCTGACACACATCGGACCCTCAGTTTGTGGCGGCTGTGCTTCCCGGAGTGGCCTGGTGGCCAGGAAACTACTAAGGACCAAGGAGGCCCAGGCCCCGGCCAGGGCCTGGGTCGGACTCCGCTCAGTGTCCGGGAGCGTGCAGAGGAGACGCAGAGAGGACTCCTTTCCTCCACTGTGGTGCCGGTGGGCCCGGCTTCCCCGAGGCCACGGTGGGGAGTGAAGGCCCACGCTCCAGGCTCACTCCACAGTGCACTACCACAGCAGGCGGAGCCAGTCCCGGGAGTGGCAGGGACATCCCAGGGTACCAGGTTATCCTGCCCACGCCCCGGCACAGGGCTGAGCCTACCAGTGTGGGCTGGTGCGGGGCGTGGCTGAGGCTGTAGGGCAGCAGCCCACGTGGCCCAGAACCACTGTGGAGCCGGACCTGGGCTCCCAAGGGAGGGGCAGGCTGACTGACCCCACCAGGCTGGGCCACACGCTGACCCCCGGTGGAGCTGCTGGGACAGCGGGGCCAGGGCCCTGCTCACCTGTGCCAGGACTGCCATAAACCTCTTCAGGGCCACCAGGCGCTGCCCCTCCAGGACCGAGAACTTGCCCACTTCTACCCGCAGGATGTAGTGCAGCGCAGATTCCAGGTCAGCCATGTAGATCCTGGAGCTGAGGACCCAGAGGGAGGCAGAGAGACAGGGCATCAACTGCGGGGCAGGGCTGGGGCGGGCACCCAGGGGTAAAGGGGGAGCGAGGACGGTCCTGGAGTCCTACAAGTCGTCCCTCGGCTCTGCTAGTAACTGTGACCTTGGGTATATTACTTACCTTCTCTGGGCCTCGTCTGTAAAATGGGGAGAAGAGTAAATTGCTCACAGGTAGGCAGCTGAGAGGGTTAAACAATAGCACAAATGCACCCCTCCCAGCAGCACGCAGCAGGGTCCCCCCTTGCGGGCCCAGGCCTGCCCCTCCCATGACGCACTAACGACCGGTGTTTTAATCAGGCTGCAAGAGGAAGAGTGAGTTTTATCCTCAGTTCTGAACAAAGACCCCTCGGGACAGACAGACCAACAGGCACCCTCCCCCCACAACATGGCTCTGGGAAGGCTGGGCCTGGCAAGGCAGGCAGGGGCGGGGTGGTGTCTGCATTTGGGGGCTGATGTCCTCACAGCTGCCAGACCTTGGGTTTGGGGCAGGGCTCCCACTTGCACGTCCCAGGCTCACCCAGCCCCGGGGGAAGGGCACAGGCTCCAGGCAGCCCGCTCCACCCCCCACCCAGATGACGCTCACTAGGGGTCTGGGCTCCGGGCTCTGATGGGAAGGGCTCCCTGAGTGCAGGTTGCGTCTGCAGCCACCTTCTGAGACCTGAGTTCTGGCCTCCGCTCTGCGGGGAGCCACCTCTGGGGGCTGGGCCAAGCCCATCTACCTCTTGAGGCCTCAGAGGTCATACGGTCATAGGGAACCAGCAAGGCGGGCTAACAGGGTGGGCGCTGAGACCACCTGCACTCGGCTCTCGTGGCGAAGTCCCCTCTCCACTCCCTGGGCCCCAGTTCACCTCTGCACCCGCGTGTTCGGCCTGAGGAGTGGCCTCATGGCTGAGAGGGAATGTACAGAAGGTGGGGTGCCCAGCACAGAGCCCGGCACACGAGGCCGGTCAGTGTAATAAGCGACTACCATCTGAGAGGTGTGAATAAGCACAAACGCAATGATCCTAATGACCATTCCAACCCCGATGTCTCTTTCTTTCTCCTGACTCAGTGAATCACTCTCCATTAGCACCTTCTACCCTTAAAGTCCCTCGGGCTAGGATGCAAATTCCTCCCAGAAATCAGATGGCTTTCCTCCAGTCTCCTTCTGCAGCTCCGAGCTCCCCGTCAGCTAATCCCACCTGGTACGTTGCTGGATGCCAGCGGGAGAGGTTGATGGCCTTGTCTCCCTCTCCCAAAAAGCAGCTCAGAGCCTCGGGGAGAAGAACAGCTTTCTCATGCTTGCAGCTATGCATAAGGACACAGTGACCTCCAAAAGCAGTGAGCTCCCTGGCACCAGAGACATTCAAGTGAAGCCGGGTGCCTCCCTGGAAGGGATGACGTAAAGGGACTGTGTGGGCAGGGACTCCATCCACTGCCCTGTGCCATCCTTACTCACGATGCCTAGCACACAGCAGGCACTCAATACTCTTTGCTGAAGAGCCCACTGTGTGAGTGGGAAGCTGGCTTGGAGCCCACACACTGTCGTTCCAAGCTGATTCCACTTGTTTGCAAACACGGGTAAGCTTCAGGAATGTGGGCATCAGGAAGTACTCATTCCCTCAGGAAGGGTACAAGGAGAGGCTGCCGCTCCAAGTCCAGGGCTCTCCTGGGCACGGCTGGCAGCTGGGGGCCCCCAAGGCCAAGGCCAGCCCTCAGAGGGTCAGGGCTCAAGATGGCGTGTGCTCAGTCCCCGACAAGGGGCAGAGTGTGGTATGAAGGGGGCATCTGTGAGCAGAGGGGAGGCTAGGGGAGGGGAGGGGTGAGGAACACAGAGTGCAGCCTTACCGGTCTGCAACTTTCCACACGGTGGGAGCTACTGTATTAGCAGCGGTTGGTGCAGCCGAGGTCTGGGCCTCCTCCCGGATGGCCCCGGAAAACCTCTGCAGGTAAGCGGTGTAGAAGGACCTGGACTCCATGAGCCTGCGAGGGCAGAGGGCAGAGAGGAGAGGCGGTGAGCGAGCTCCTATCGGGAGAGGCAGCAGGGGCTCAACCGACAGACACGTTTATTAAGGAATATTAGCACTTGGTTTGGTCTCATCCTCAGTGAGGTCGAAACCGGGCACCCATGCCACACCTTAACCTTTCCCTTCACCGTTCATGCTGTGGGAAGCCTCCAGGGAGCCTGAGGCCAAAACCTCACCTGCCCTGGAGTGACTGGGACAGAGCCCCTTCCGGACAGTGCTGGTCCTGCCCAAGGACAGGATGACCACCCTCCCCGGAACCAAGGTGTGAAAGGGCAGCTGTCTTCCTCACTCTGAGGTGCCAGAGGGGGCGGTGCTCCCCACGGAGGTCAAGGGAGTTTAATATGCGATTTTTACAAAACGGCAACAAAGAAACCGCTCAAATTCTCCAATCCTTTTAATAATCCTTTTGATTTCCTTCTCTCCCCTGACAGAGGGGTGCTCTCAAGAGCAGGAGGCGTCCCCTGGTCAGGGCCCTGGGGAGGGAGGGAGGCGAGGACCAGCGCCAGTGTGGCGGGGCCCCCAGGGGAGCCGCCCCGGGGGAGCACCGCTTTCCACTCCACCGTCCTGGCCCGACGTTTATCCAGGCGCAGATGGCCGGGAAGCAGCATTGTCACAAGCAATTCCCCCGCCACCAGCTCCCGGGGAGGAAACAATGGCGCCTCTCCCCACCAGGGCCACGCTTTCGGGGTCTGTGCAGGAAGTGAGTGTCCCCATCTCCCATGGCCATCGCTCCTCCTTCTCCCAGCAAAAGCCTCTGACAAGGTCTGGCCCAGGCTGGTGATCGGGCGGCAGGGGCCAGCCACCCTGCCCAGCCTCAGGGCACGGTGGCCCCAGTGGCCCAGTGGACAGCTCTCTGGGCACCTCAGGCGAGCCCTGCTCTCCCGGCCCTTGCGCCTCGGCAGGGCCACGCTGACGTCAATCATCTGCCCAGGGAGGGCACCGAGGCACCATCTGGCGCCATTCAACAGGCCATTCAGCAGCGGGAGCCTGACAGGGGCTGTGGTTGGCCTGATTGTTCTCTCCTGGCATTTTGGAACTGGCTATTGTCTGGCTCCTAATGAACTTTTCTGCAATTAGAAAACCAAAGGGAGGGAGGGTCAGGCATATTTGAGTGTGTGCCCGGGCTGCAGCCTGCCAATGAGTCTGTCTGAACAGAGGCGGACGGGGAACAGGGCCAGGGCTGCAGTGGGGATCAGCCGAGGCACCAGGCTGGGTGCGCCAGGGGCCTGAGGCAGGACTCCCGGGCCGGGCTCTGAGCGCAGGGCTCTGAGCGCAGGGCTCTGGGCGCAGGGCTCTGAGCGCAGGGCTCTGGGCGGTCCCTGGCAGTGCAGACATTGTCCCAAACCCCACAGGCAGACTGCTCGTCCTGCAGAGGGCGCTGCTTGCCAGCCCATGGGCCCAGTTCCCCATGACAGGCCAGCAGGCCCTCTGGGCAGGAAGAAAGGACACGCACAGGGAGGGAGGACACAGGGTGGGGCAGAGAGACCCCGCACTCACACGGGAACCCGGGAGACGGAACCATTCCGAAACAGCAGGTAGCAAGATGGGAAGTCAGTGACACCAAACTTGCTCACCACGTCGCCCTCCGTGCTCAGGACCCTGCGCACCGCGATGCCTTTGCGCTGGGACAGGTCCAGGATCACCTGCAGAGACAGTCGGACGTCAGGGGCCCGGCCACGGGGCAGAGGGACAGGCACCTGCGGGCAGCGCTTCATCCTCTCTAAACCTCTCCAATGAGGACAGACCGTTGTGATGAGTCAGAGCCTCGGGCCACCAACGCATCTACCCCACAGGGAATGGGAGTCAGACACGGCCCAACTTGGAGCTGTGAGTGCCACACACCTGACTCTTCCAGGACAGTCCCAGCTTAGTACCATTTTCTTCCCGATGAAAGCAATTTGCAAAAGGCATAATAAAAATGTGGGTTCCTTTTACTCTTATATTTATAAGGCTTTCTGTCCATATTCCAAGTCAGAAAAACATAGAGTCAGCCATAATGCTTTTATTTTTAGAAAGAATTAGGAAGGGGAAAAAGAGAGCAGCTCACATTCATTGAGCACGTACTATGTGCTGTATCTAGATTGCTTCACTTAAGCTTCAAAATAGCACCAGGAGGCCTGGTGAGGCGGTGCGGTCTTGAGGGCTGCTGGGTTGGAACCCAGCCCTGCAGGCCTAAACCTCCCCCTGACTCAACCTCCTCCCTTGCGGAGTTCTAACAATACCACCCCAAATGGGTTAATTTTATAAAAGTGCTCATAACAATGACTAGCAAATAGTAGGTGCATGAGTATTCGTTTAAAGAATAAAACTACCAACAGTGAAGAAATGGAGACTTAGAGGTGACATCGTGTTTCCAGGTCATGCATCCAGCATTTGCCTGCACTGGTTCCAGAGCCTGCACTTGGCCACTGTGCCCCGCTGCCTCTCAAACCAATCATCACCCCTGAGAACCTCTGTAGGGGCAGTCGACAGGGGCACCTGTCCCTGGTTACTCAGGCGACATGGGGGAAAGAGGGAGAAGAACTGATTCCAGTGAACAGTTATCCATCACTTTGTGGGCAGGCGTGGCCTCAGGCCTGGACTGGGACCCTGGGACAGTCAGTCCCCTCCCCACCTGCCTGTGTTTCCCTTCTCAGGGCTCAGGGGCCTGGAGACGGGCCAGAGCTCTCAGCGGAGCTTGGTATCAGAGGAAAACTGCACAAGGCAACAGCGAGTGACCTTTAATTTCATCCCCACTCCCAGGTCGCTTCTGTCCCCTTGCACTGCCTTGGGACTCCTCCCACGCACTGGCCCATCCTACCTTTGTGGCCTGGAGCCGCTGGCAAGCCAGCGGAGGAAGGGCTGGCGTCTGCATTAGGCCGGGGGCTGGACTGTTACACAGCATCCACTCTGAGCCAGCTACTCACCCAGGCCCTTCGCCTACACTGCCTCACTTGGCCTCCCCAGCAGCACACTGAAGCAAGGCGATTGTCACAACCTCACAGACAGGAACACGGGGCTCAGAACAGTGAGTAACCTGACCACGACATATGATCCAAGTGACGGAGTAGAGCTCCAAGCCTGCGGGTTCTGCTCTCTGCCTCATCTCACGGCCAGGCACCCTCTCTACTTGTAAGGGGTTGGATGACCTGTGATGTTACCTCCCTCCCAATCTCTCTTTAAATCTGTGGGGACGCGAGGAGGGCCAGTGTGGAAAGGACATGGACTCCGGGGGCAGACGGAGCTGGCGCAAAGCTCTGTTCTACGAAGTCACCGGCTGTGCGATCTTCAACATGTTACAGGATCATCTTTGATAATCGTGAAGATTGGCAACTATGGGGGCCGGCATTATAATCCAGTGCTCGATAAACAGCAGGTCTTGTCAAATTTGGCTCCAACGAAGGAGATAAAAACAGACACAGGATGTATAATGTACAGCCGGGTCAGTAACAACGTATTAACTTCGTAGGATGGTGGATGGTCACTAGACTTATTGGGGTGATTATTTGGAAATGTATGCACATGTCAAACCATTATGTTGTACACCTGAAACTAATATAATGTTGCATGTCAATTACACTTCATATCAAAACAATAAAGGTTTTGAAACAGAAAAATCCAGCTCCTGCACTTCCTGTGTCTCCCAGCAGAGGTCAGGCCCGTGCTGGTCTCGGAAGTACAGTGACAGATCCTAGAATTTGCGGCAACAGCCCTGCTCCCGAACTCGCTGGACTCTCCCAAGGGCTATCCAGGAGTTACAAGGACCCTGAGGACAGCTCACCTCTCTGCCCACGTAGGAGCCTTCCCTTTCAAAGATCAGGGCCAGGTACTCTTCATTGTTTCTTGCAAAGAATCCATTAATCTCCTCCAGCCTGCAAGAGACAAGGCCAGCAGTCACCCCACCGCCAGTGGGAATGAAGCAAACTGCTGGCAACCCCAGCTGACACGGCCCCTCTGGTGCAGCCACACAAACCCACTCTGCTCCAGGCTTCACGGCAGTCACCCCTGCCTGCCCTCCAGCGGGAGTCAGCCAAACCCTCAGGTTCTGAGGGTGGTGCCCCTGACCTGACCCTGGGTCTTCATCTCACCCACCCGCTTGATGTGCTTTGCCACCCTATCTCTTTAAGAGTGAAAAGCGAATAGGAGGTGGCTTGGGGAGGAGGACAGGGAAGGGACACTTGGAGACCACTTGTCTCTGTGATCTGGGGAAGGCCCAGGCTTGGAGAATACGGACTGTGTTGGCTCCCGGAGAGACTGGTGGTAAGCACCCGCCAGACACAAGCCTTGCTCTGTGGCAAGTCACTGCCAAGTGGGAGATCTGCCTTTTCCTCTCCCTGGAGGAAGGATGCAAAGGGAACTGAAGATTCAGAACGTCCTGGGTACAGGAGCCTGCGGGAGCTCTCTAACCCAACCTTCTTATTTGAAGATGAGCAAACTGAGGCCCAGGGCACAGGTGGAAATTCGAAAGGTGGCAAATTTTAGTATGCCCCCAAATCAGAGAATTAAGGTACCAACTGCTTTCATAACTCAAAGTTTCAACAGAAAAATAACTGCATAACACGAAAATGACTGGTCCCCTTACTCTACTTAAAAGCAGAACATCATCCCATGTGCTTAGGCAGGCGAGGTCCCCATGGGGGGCTACATCCTCCTCTTGCCCCCAACCTGAACTCCTGGCTTCCTCTACTGGGCCCAGTGACGTGGCAGGGACCACCTCTAAACAGAGGGCACACCGTGGGGCCAGAGCTGGAGCCCAGCCCAGTGGCAGCACGGACGGATGCACCAGAGAGGTAGGGGGTCAGGGCGCACCCTGGTCATGGACGAAGAGGCATCCGTCTGTGCTGCCCGCCGACCTGTTCCCTGCTCCTCACTTCTTCCCTTTCTCATTTTCTGTCTCTCATTTCCTCACACCCCTCCTGGGGCGTGTTCAGTACCCCATTTTCTTAGAAAAGAGGCAATCCTGGGAGCCTGGCTGGCTGTTGGGGACAGGACACCAGCCACTATGTCAGACCCTCTGTAGCATAGGACACAGTCACGCCCCCCACCCCCGGTCACAGCCGTTGCTCAGAAAAAACGGCCACCTTCCCTCTTCAGAGATGCGGCTTTCTTCTCCCCGGCCCCCACCCCCTTTTCCTGTAAATGGTCTTTGACCTCCTCCCCCCAACCCATGCCCACTCTCCCAGGCGCCCTCTGGGTTAGATCACCTGAAATTCTACTGCATCCCCAAACATTCCTGGGCACAGATTTGAGAGGCGGCAGCAGGTTATGACCTGGAGAACCCCCGCCCTTTTTCCTTCACGCCCGGTGGGATAGGTCCTCGAACCTGCCGATCAGCCCCAGGAATCGGCCACTGGGCAGGACCTCCAGCACCAGGGAGCCCTCTGGCCCACGGAGCTGTCTGCCCCAAAGGCGACAGGAAGAACCAGCCTGGGCCCCCTTCCCTGCCATGCCCACCGCCCTCTCACCTCCAGGCCTGTGACCCTGGCCCACACTGCACCCAGCCTGCCCCAGTCCGCAGTACCTGGCAGGCTCCAGTGGGGGGCAGGCGGGGGGCCACGTGACACTGTGGGTCTCCAGCGCATCAATGAGCCTCTCCCGTAGTGTCTGCACATCAGCACCAGCCACTGTGAACACAGACAGACACGGGCAGGAATTCTGTCAGCTTCGCTCACAGAAACCAAGGGCGCAGGGCTGCTTAGCTCTGAGAGAAGCACAGCACGGTCAGTCCTCCACTCTACTCACTGTCCTGAGCTGCGCAGGGGACCCCTCCCTCAGGGGGCAGGAAAGAGTCCCTGGGGCCTGGGCCCCGGAGGGCTCCCCCCGAGGGGCTCTCCGATCTGCCCCTCCGCTGCCAGCCCCTGACTCGACGGGTGAGTCTGGGAACACGGCGACTCCCCCCACTCCCCGGACCCTGGACAGACCCACATGGAAGGGCTCCTCAGTTCACCTTCCTGAAGGTGGCCGGGCCCAGAAGGACAGTCACGAAAGTACCGGCTTTCAGCTGGGAAGTGCATCCCTCTGCAGCTGTCACCGCGCTCTCACCGGGCAGAAGAAACCCGGGGAAAGAGGGGGGCAGGGAGAGGAAGACGCCACACTGCCCACAGGACGCTCACCCGCCAACGCAGGTACACTCACCCGCCAACGCCGTTCCTGTGCCACTCTTGGAAAAGGCCTTGAAGAACTGAAAGGAACGCAAAGGCAGGGGTCAGTGGCACGTGCAGCTGAGCGCAGAGCACGCTGTCACCTGGAGCTGCGTGTAGACCCAGCGGCTTCCTGCACGGGAAGGGGCGGTGCGCTCTGGGCAGAGAACTTGACTTTGGTGAGCCTCTGTTTCTCCACGTGGAGAATCAGAACGGGGAGGGTTTTGCTCTTGTGGCTGGGCTGACTCCTCTCCCCACTGTCCTCGATTCCAGCCCCCAATCCCACAGCTCTAGGGGCCGTGGGGGGCTGGAGGCAGCAGCTCAGACACCTGGCGGGAGGGGGACTGTCCCTACAAAGCCCCGGAGCCAGCACGCGGCAACAGGAAAATATTTATCAAGTATGAATGAATGCCAAGACCACCCCTATTTCCCCTTGCAGACCCATCTGAAAAAATAAGATGAAATCACTGCAAACACCCTCCACCCCGGGGAAGTGGGAGCCACCCTCTGAGGCCATCTGTCCCCGCTCCTATCTCGGGAAAGGGACTCGGAGTCTCTGTCCACTGAGAATTCCCCGCCTGGCTCAGCAGCCGCTCCCTGCTCAGTCCTGTTGGCGGGTGGGCCTGAGCCCCTGCAGAAACATGTCTCGTTGCAGACAGACCAGTTTAACTCGCAGCCTACCGCCTTCCCCACTTACACGGCCCTCCTGGCCCTGCCTGTCACTCCTTGGGTGAGAGGACAGACAGAACAGAGGACGAGCCCGCAGAATCTGGGCTTCTGCCTAAGTAAGGAGAGAGCTGCCAGCGCTCTGGCCCGCGCTCTCCCGGGCTCAGGAGGGGACAGAGCTGACAGACGGCCACTTAACTGCCTGGCGCAGAGCCCTCGGGCCGGGAAGAGGGCTCCTCCTGGGGTCCCTCACCTCAGGGCCACTTGGGCTACCTCTGGGCTCTGCCTCCCACAGCTGGGACTTCTGGCCTTGTCCCACGCTGGTGGCTGCGTGCAGGCCCTGGGGTCCACCAGACCTGGGCTCTCGGCCTGGCTCTGCTGCAGCCCGGCTGTGTGACCGTGGACCGTCATTAACCCTCTGAACCATCTCATCTGTAACTCGAGGATGACGCCACCCGCCTTGAAGAGCTGCTGTGAAGACTCAATGATGATGCATTTAAAGCGCCTAGCACGGTGCCCGGGACGCACCATAAGGAGTCACTGTCACCATCACCATCTTCGCCCCCTCCCCCTGCTCCTACTTCTCAAACATCGAGAAACACAGATCGCTGGGCACTTGATTGTTCCAGCCCTTTGTGAGCAGAAAACCCAAACCCTGGGGAGGCCACCTGCCCCGTCTCTCACCCAAGGTACAAAGATGCAGAGAGGCTGCCCATCTGTCCCCTTCCACACCCCCTCTTGCTCCCTGGGACCTCGCCTGGACCTGACGCTGCTCGGCACTTTATCCTCTCTCACTTTTTGGAGTGTTAATACAAACTTCTACTCTGGGTGACAGCCATCCACTGATACACACCCCAGGTATTTATGCGCTTATAATGGAGCTCTTTGCAGCAACTGAACGCCGTTTGGAATTAACAAAATCGTGTGGCAGCCTCTAATACCTGTAGAAATAGTGATAAAAGCCTTGGACGGTGGCATGGGACCAAACAGGAAAAGCACACTAAGGCGTTTCTGGACTGACGTCGTTTCTCAGACACAAAATAAAAAAATGTGTCTCTTTGCTGTTTGCTGTGCTCACAAATCAATATCCCCAAGGACGAGCCTTGCAGAACAGTGACCCATGGCAATGGCACCCGTTTATGTGGACAGAACAGACCTCTGCGTGTCCCACAGCCGAGGAGCGCCCCTGACATCGTGCACCCTGACACCGGGCAGCTGTCCCGCGGCCACAGCGGCCATGTTCAGTTACCGCAGAGTAACACGGCAACGCTTCCTCACCAGCCGGTGGGTCGCCCAGGCACTCACTGAAAGAGGCTGGCACCACCTCCATCAAAAGGCAGCCTCCATTATAATGCTGCGCCTGGAACTTACATACTATTACATACCAGTGTTACCTTAAAAAAAAAAAAGGCAGCCTCCTGAACCTTCTGCCGGCCCCAGCCATGGGCAGCGTGGGGTCACGTGGGAGCCTCCTCGGCAAGAAGGGCCCAGGGGAACGAGGGCACCCCAAAACTGCCCCCCCAGTGAGGGCAGGGCTATAGGAAGGCCCCACCTCCTTCGAGATGCCTCTGCTCCCACCCAGCCTCCCTAGTACCTTCCAGGGCAGTGTCCCCGGCCCAGCAGTCCCTCCCGTACCTCCTGCTCTTTGGGAACTTTTCCCTATCAATTAATCTCTTTCCTCTTTCCCTTCTTCTGCCATCTTCTTCCCTATGTCTACAAATAGATGCAAATCCTCCTAATCAATTTTTTTTTTTTTTTTTAAGAAAGGATGGTAAGGGACCTGGCTGGTACTGAGAGCTGGCCTGCAAACCAAAGGGTCGCCAGTTCCATTCCCAGTCAGGGCATGTGCATGGGTTCCTGGGCATCTTCCCAGTAGGGGGCGTGTGAGAGGCAACCACACACTGATGTTTCTCTCCCTCTCTTTCTCCCTCCCTTCCCTGCTCTCTGAAAACAATAAAATCTTAAAAAAAAAAAAAGAATAAAAGGACAGTAAGGGAAGGAGAATGGGCACAGAGGGTGGCCCTCCTCTCTCCAGCCCTCCCACTGCCCAGGCCCGAGCAGAGTCTGCTTTGCTGCTCTGACTTCTTCTCTCTCCGTGCCCACGACCAGGCTGCGGGGGGCGCACGACCCCACCACTCAGCCGACGTTGTCTCTGGCCAATCCAATGGCCACCTCGCTCCCTCTGCAGTGTCTGATGTCAACTGCCTGCTTTCCCCCATGGCCAGAGGTGGCGACCTTTTGGGTGTGACTCATTTTCCTGACACCCCCTTCTTTGTCTTCATGTCACCACCCTCCCCTGGTTTGCCTGACACCGACCCAGCCTTCCCCGCCACCTTCTTGGCCTGCCCCTCACCCCTGCCCCTGCCCCAGGCCCATGGCCCTCACCGTCTCCTGCCCACAGTCTCTCCTATGGACACATGTCAGAGGATGACCCTTGTCCGTGCAAAGAGCCTGGGGAGGCACGGTCACCAACGAGGGACTTTCGGATGAGTGGGTGGACAAATGAGGCACAAACAGGCCTACTGTGTGTCTCCTTTGTCTCAGCGACTTGCCCACGTGTTCCCTCTGTCTCAGGGCCCGACTTGTGTTTGTTTTTCCTGGGGCCCTCTGCACAGGTGTCCGGGCCACACCCCCCTTCCCAGGCCTGAGTCACCCCGCCCCCAACCTGTTTCTCCAGCTTGCTCTTATCTCTCCCAGGGATTGTCCTCCTCTGACACCCAGGCCAGCGCTGCCCTCTCCACAGCCCCCTATCCAGTCAGCCGGATCTGACCTTTGTCCGTCCACCACTTCGACAGCCCCCTGGGCCCGCCGCCTGGTCTAGCCCCGGCCTGGCCTCCGAGCTCTGGACTGCTGTAACTGTCCCGCCTGTCCTTGCTGCACGCTCAGCCTTTTCATTCTGCAACCATCTTCCTCGCTGCCACTCTGCTTACTTCTCTACGGCAGCATTCTGATCCGATCACGTCATTTCTCAAAACTCTTCCATGACTCTGCATTGCCAAGGGATAATGTCCCAGCTCACCCCGTGCGGGGCCTCCCGGAATCTGAGCCCAAGCTTACCTCCCGCTGCCCCTACGCTTCAGCTACAACGGACTTGCACCTGAACTTCCCACCCCCGCAGCCACCACCTCCCAGACTGGGAGCGCGGGTCCAGCTTCAGCCTGTTGGCCTCTGTGGCCCCGCAGCACCTGGCAGTGTCTGGGACACGGAAGTACTCAAAAGGCATCTGTTCGGTAAAACCGAGAAAATCTGCCCTTTGATCATCCTGGAAGCTCACATAAAAATCACAGCGGAATCTAGTCAGGGCACATTTCTGGGCTCCTATGAAGCCAGATGTGGGGTGGGAGGCACGTGCCCTGCCCAAGGGAAAGGACCACAACGCCTCGGAAACAGGCAATTAGAACTGCAGCAGAGAGTCTGTTTTTCTCCAGGGGCACTCGGCCCGGGCCCCTTTCCTTTCTCTCACTTTACAAGGAAGTGTCTGTCTTCTTGCAACTCAGGGCCCCTGGAAGGCCTCTGCGTCTCCCCAGAGGCAAGAGACCAGCCGCATGGGGCAGACTCTTACCAGCCCAGCCAGGAGCCCTGCCTTCCCGGGGCCCACGGGGCTGACTAGGGAACACGCTTCCCAGGGGTGACCATCAGCGGCACGGAATCTAATCTTTCAGAACAAGCTTTAAGAAAAACGACTCAGTCTCCAATATCCTGTAGTGAGCCCACGAGGGCCTGCAAGCTGCACCATCCCTGCGCTGTGGACAGCAGTGGAGGAGACGGCCGGAAGAGGGAAGGTGACCAGAGAGCAGGCCTGTCTCCCTCTTCCAGAGAGGCTCGTGGGACATCTGCCTGAGTCCTCCCTGACATCTCACCCTCTAGAAAGGGCCACACAAGGTAACGGCCCAGGCCTTGTGTGTCCTGCCGGGTGTCCACACTCCTGGCCTTGAATGTAAGGACCGGCCATGGCTGGGTCCCCCGCTCCCAGCAAGGCCTCGGCTTGCACTGGGGACTCCGCTCCGGCCAGACCAGTCGCCTTGGCACACCACACATTCTTCCCGCCCAGGGCCTTGGCTCTCACCGCCCACACGCCTCCTCTCTCCTGGCCAAACCCCACCTGTCCTTCAGCACCAGGCAGGCGCTCCCCTCCTACATGCAATGCTCTCTGATACTCGGGGAAGGAGCTCTGAGCGCTGGCAAAGCCCCAGCCTTCGCTGCCTACAGATCACTCCCTGCCTGTCAACTAGGTGGTGAGCTCTGGGTATGCATGCGGACATGACCTTTGTGCCAGCCTCTGTCATGTTGCTGGCTGTGCTACACACACCCGGCCTCTCCCACCATGGTGAGCACAGTGCTGTGCGCCCTGCACACTCTCACCCAGTCGCTGCTGATGGGCGGACGGCCTCGAATCTAGTGCCCCCGAGAGGAGCCACCAGGAGCCCCTGGGGGAGTGGGACGAAGACAACTGTGTAGTAAATGCCAAGTGACACAGCACCTTCTCACGTAAGACCTCCTTCGCACTTGACAACAACCCCATTAGGTGGATATCATCATCCCACTTTCACGGACAGGGACACTGAGGCCCATGGCTAGGACCCTGTTAAGGGACTTCCTGAGCCACACACAGTAAGCAGTGGAGCCAGGGTTAGAACCCACATCCATTCTCTCCTCAGAACCTTGCAAAGGGGAGACTTCGGTGCTCCCCACCCCAGTGCTGCTGGTCCCTGTAATCTTGATCTCAGCCAGGCCTTTGGCCAAAGAGGGTCCTGGTCCATTCCCCACTGAGGGGCACCCCTGTGGCCATTCCCCCCAGAGGTTCAGCCTCCTGGTCCCCAGCACCACCCAGAACCTGCTGCAAACCAGTCCCTCCCTTGCCCTTGTCTCCTCCCAGCGGGGCTCCTGCTCTCGCCTGATGGGTCCTGACACAGCCGCCCGCCCTGCAGGGCCTGGAGTTTGCCAAACAGGCTGGGCTGGTGGAGGCTCACTGCTGGCTCTCGGTGACAAAGGTCAGGAGGCAGAGGAAAGGGACAATAACACGTCACTGGGGGTGGGCAGACTCTTGTGTGGGCCTGTCCTCATGACTCCGGCAACTCTCCCTCCCCTTATTCAACACGTGTCCATGTCTTAGAGCTCTCACAGCCGGAAGGGCAGGAGCGAGGACAGGTGCCCGTCCCCAGGTGGCGGCCACTGGGCCACAGGGGTATCTCTGGCCTGGAGGCAACTCTCAGGGGATCGGAATCTCTGCGGCCGGGAGTGGTGTTTTCCAAACATGGGAAGCAATCTAATAGTCAGTTGTGAAGTCAGTGTAGTGAGTCACAGTATTTTTTTAAACTTAAATAGAACAGAAAGCCTCACTGTGTATAGCACTAAATAAAAATATTGTTTGCACTAAATAAAAATATTGTTCCACGGAACATTCGTTTCAGTGATAAGAGAGTCCAACTCTGGGACTGCACGGTAAAAGGCCACGCCTTACTGCGGTCACACTGACCGTCTGAGGGTGTCTGCACGGGCCTCAGAGCAGAGGCCCACTGGCCGAGTGGCCTACCTGTACCCGAACTAGAGTCCCGGGGACAGGGCATCAAGCTCTCCCGGCCGAAACTGACCTGCAGGCGTCTCAGGAGAGGCAGGGAGGTGACACCACCGTCTCTGGGACTCTCAAGAAATGGACAGATGACTGCGGGCCTGGCCCGAGCAGGTGCTGCCGTGTGGAGGCAGGGGAGGTCCCCTCCCACAGCCAGCCAGGTGGCTCAGGAGGTGATTACTCACTCGGGCAGCAGGGCTGCGTGCGCTACGTGACCTGGGTAGGCTCTGAGGAGCTTCTGGATGGCGACTCCCTAGCCGCCTCCCGCACATCGGCCGAGCCCCAGCTTCTCCGGGGCAGAGAGGGAAAGGCCCACATGCCAGGCCCCACAGGTCCCCACAGGACGTCCTGACCTGGCCACAGGGCTGGGTGGTGGTCGTGCCCCTGCACAGAACCCCCCACTATGCGTGTTGGGGAACAGCCTGTGCACAGGGACTCTCTGCTGCCACCCGGGTCTTCCCATGGCTCCCACTCAGGGCTGCGTGCCCCAGCTCAGCAAAAGGGACAGTGTGTCCTGTCCTCTCCCTGCAGAGTGGGTGACTTTAAGTATTTCAGGTGCATATCTCGGGGGCACGGCCCTGCCAGGAAGGTCTTCTAACTTGAAAGGAATGATTTATAAACAATCTCTCTGCTGCCACCTCTAAATGACAGAGCCAGGGCTGTTGGCTCACCATGCTGTTCCCCGGACAGGACTGACCCTGACCCTGACCCTGACCGGTAACAGCAGCGTAGGAGGGAGCTCGATCAGGCCATGGAAACCTTGAACCCAGCAGGACCTCACTGGGCATGAGGAACAGAAGGGTCACGTGCAGTTAGAGATGGGCACTGTTGGAGCCTGCGGCCTGGCTCTCCAGGTGAATTCTCCCGGACTCATCAGACTGAGCTACGGCTCAAGTTCTGCTTGGAGCGCAGAGCCCCCGAGCTCAGAGAGAGCTTGTTCCAGGGACAACGGCTGGACTTGCAGCTTTCAAAGGCATTTCGTGATTATTACTATTAATGACATCAGAGGAAACTGCTTTCCTAGATGCCATGTTGGTGGGAAGAGGCTAATTATTTAGACAGAGAGCCAGAGAGACGGAGGTTTGGGGAAGGGGCGCAGCCTCACTGCCCTGGGCCCCCAGGCCTCCCCTCGGAGAGCCCTGGAAGTTGTCCAGATGTTAGGCCAGCGAGGCCTTTGCTGTTTTTGGCCTGAGTGGCCGTGAGGGTGACGGAGCCCTCATGTGCCAGGAGTGCCGCCAGCCTCCCATGACATGATGGGGCTGCTGCCTGAGGCATTCTGGCACGGTGACCGCGGGGTGAGGCCATCCCGACAGGTCACCTCCAAGCTCTTTGGGTCCAAGGCACTTGCTGGAGGAGGGTGAAGCTTGCCCAGGTCTCTGGGGCCCTTTCTGGGGGGGCCATCGGGCCACCTGAGTCTAATCATGCCCTGAAGTCTGAGCCTGCGCCCTGGTTTTAGAAGGTGAGGTCAGAGATCCACAGCTAGGAGGTCAGGGGGAGAGGGGCTGGAGAGAGGCCCCTGGGAGCTGGGAGCTTGCACCCCAACGCACCCCACACAGACCCCTTCCCTTATAAAGGGGAGGATTTGCCAGACGAGTGAACTCTCTCTTTTTCACCTCCCAGCTCACGTCTCTTTCTGCCTGTAGAACAGGTGTCTCCTTGAGCGAAGGGGCAGTGTGCCGGGGGCTGGGACTTACACAGACTGGAGCATCAGAGAAGCCCCCGGAGCTGGGCACACACACAGGAGTTGGCAGTATCACCCCCCTCCCCCGACCTGTGCCCCCTCCTCCCCACGCACCCTCACGGTCGGGAAGCCCGGGATGTTGAAGTCTCGGCAGACCGCGCTGTTGGTCTCGTCGGCACAGTCCAGGGCGGCCAGGTGCAGCGCCGGCCTCCAGTCTGAAAGGACAGAAACACCAGGTGAGGGGAGGGGCTGTGCCTCTGCTGCTCCTCCCCCACCCCCGCAACACCCCACACCCACCAGACTCGCCCCACCGCCCCCAGCACTCTTATGGGAAAGGTCTCCCCTTCCTCAGAAAAGGACCTCTGATACAGTCTGGTTATTCTGGGTGCTTGGGACACAGTTCAACAGCACAAGCAATGCTGTCTTGCAATGGCATCTGCGCCCCCCGTGACTGGTCAGGGGAGGGATGAAGAGATGTGGGGGCTGAAGAGAGACTGCCCCCTCCAGGGAAGAGGCTTGACTTCTGCTCCCTCCTCACTGCCCTCTAGAAAGGACCGGTGCCAGAAGGCCAGAGAGCATGCTTCAGCAAGTCCCGAATCTCCCGGGGGACCCTCAGTGGAACTGGCACTCGGCCCAGCTCAGGTAGGCGGGACACAGGGTGCTGGGGCCCCGCTCCCCAGCCAGGGATGGAGGCAGCGTGTCCCAGGAGAAAGGGGAAGGTACCCGGAACCCAGGAGTCCCAGGGAAAGAGCACTGAGGCCAGAGCCTGGAAGGAGATTGAAGCTCCCAGCAGCAAGCAGCCCGGGCCGCAAAGCCTCCCTAACTTACTGCCAGAGAGATAATGGCACTGTTCAGGCAGTCTGTCCGTCTGTGCAGATCCATGGGTCCCAACCCGCCCCCAAATCCGGTCCACCCTCCCACCCAAGCCCCTGTCTCCCTCTCCCAACTCCAGCCCACTGCTAGAGCGCCCCCCAAACTCCTGTTTGTCAGGAACAACTCAGTTTGAACACGATTCCCGCCAGGAGGAGCTGCCTCCCAGTCCAAGGCCCAGGGCCCTGCCTGTGTTCCTACCACACGGTCACCAGCCCGTCCATCTCTAAATGACTTTTCATTGTTGCATCCCCACTGCCCAGCTTCCCCATCACACAGCACATGCTAGGTGCACGGTGACTGCTGACTGGTGACACAGTCGTCCAGGCCCAGAAGGGCTCTCAGTGGCTCTGGCTGGACCCTCAGAGTAATATCCTGAGGGTCCAGATCGGGGGTGAGGTTAACACCAGTCACCTGTAAGTGCAGGAGAGCAGAGCTGCCCAGGTACAAGGCTTTGCCCTGGATCACAGGAAAGAGGGCCTGGGCCTTTATCCCGTAGTTTCCCCTGCCCGAGTCAGTTCCTTCTGTTCTGCATCTAAAGCTCTGGTCACCTTATTTGGGGAGACCCATAGCAGAGGCCCAGGGGTGCTCAAAAAAGCCAGTAAGTGAATTAGACCGAAGGGCCGAGGAGAGGCGATTTCGCATCCTTCCACCGGCGAGGGCCGGGGGAGGGTGGCCGAGGACCGTGGGCCTTAATGCTCTGCTCCTCTCCAAGAACGGAAGTCACCACCCCTTGGGCCAAAGCAGCCAGTGCCCGCTGCCCACTGGGGCACACAGACTCTGAAGACACAGGGGGAGAGAGAGAAGAGAAAGCTGGCCTTCAGAGAGCACCAGAGGACACAACAGGTGACCCCGCGTCATTCCCCCCCCACTGGAGGTGGCCGTCGTTTCCCTGCTTCACAAACAAGGACAGGACTGAGAGGCCTCCGAGCTGCCCTGGGGCTCCCTCGTTCACCTTGCCGGGGTCAGGATGCTTCCTTTATACTTTTGCTGTCTGCTCTGTCACAACCTCCCAGGAAAGAGAGAACCCATTCTCATGGTCACTACCACAGACTCGGCTCTGACTCTGATGAGGAGGATATAAAGATATAAATCAGGGGTCCCCAACCCCCAGTACCAGCCCATGGCCTGTTAGGAACCGGGCCCAGGAGCAGGAGGTGACTGGCGGGCAAGCCAGCGAAGCTGCATCCGTATTCACAGCCGCTCCCCATCACTCGCATTACCTCCGGAGCTCCACCTCAGAGCTCAGCAGTGGCATTGGATTCTCCCGGGTACTCGAACCCTACAGTGAACTGCACGTGCGAGGGACCTGGGCTGCACACTCCTCAGGAGACTCCAACCCCTGACCATCTGAGGGGGAGCTGTGGTGATGAACACGGATCATCGTTAGCAGAGAGGTGGGACTGCACAGAGACCACAATGAATCGACTGCTGGCAGGCTCGTATCAAAACCCTATCAGTGAGTGGCAAGCGACAACTGCTGCATCTGGTGGCAAACTATTAGGCCATCCTACCCTCGAGTCCATGGAAAAATTGTCTTCCATGAAACTGGTTCCTGGGACCAAAACGGTTGGCGACTGCTGTATTCTATGGCTGGAGAGTTTACCATTCAGCTGAGTGATGTAGTTTAATGCTTACGACTACCCCACGAGGAAAGCGAGGTGCTTATCGTGAGACCTGCTTTCCTCAGCTACTAAACAGAGATTAGAATTCTGTGTCCGAGGCACACAACCAATCGATGGTGAATCTGCGATCTGAACCCAGATCGGGAGCCCTCCGTTGGTCCCCAGAGGGCGCAGGGCGGAGCAGAGGAGCTGCCCTGCTGGCTGCCCTACCGGGAGACGCAGAGAGCGTGGCGTGCCGGTAGTCCGGGGGGATGGTGCACGGCGGTTCCCAGACCCCTACTCCTTTGACTCCTTCTCTTTAACCCTGATTCCCTGTGCCTCCAAGACAGGGAACCAGGGCTTCTTCTTACCTGCCCCAGGCCCAGGGGGAGGGGGAGGGGGAGGCTGGGGCCAGGCAGGCGCTGGGAGAGTCCTGGCTGAGGAATGCTTCTCAGGAACATCAACGTTAATACCTTAATGAGCCATAATGACGTGAAGACCTGGTCTGCATGAGTCACCAGGGGCCTGACTGTTCATCACTCCACTAACAGCACAGGGACAGAGAGGACCTTACCTGGGTGAGCCCGGGGAAAGCAAAGGGGGAGAGAGATCAGGTGACTTACAGACCACAGCCTGCAGGCCTAACACCAAAGGGTCAGCAGCAGTGTCAGCTAGTCCTGCTCTTGGGGAGGAAAAAATTTCCTAGCGCAGTCGCTACCCTGGCAACGTAATTTCTCTGCTAACAACGGAGGAAATGAGCAGATGGGGAGGGGGAGGGTGGGGAGGTGAGCGTGTCCAGGACAGCTGAGGACTCTGGGGTGGTGGCTGAGGGGACACCCTGTGGCAAGGGGCTGACGGGCTACTTCGGGAGTCACTGGCAGCATCCCCGCCCCCACTCACAAGTCCAGGAAGGGGCACTGGACCCAGAGTCTCAGACTTGCTCGTAGCTCTAACTGGCTAATGCCCCACGGGCTCCACGTGTCTCCTCTTGGGTCAAACAAGGGCCAAGGTGCATGTCCTCTCCTGTCCCTCCCACCTCTGACAACCATTGGAGATGCTGCATGGCAAACACCTGGCCGGAAAAATGGCCTTGAGGCCTGTGGGTGTTAGGCAAGCCTGGGTCTCTGGGGGGGCTGAGGCCGGACCCACCAAGGGCAGTCAGGCGGGATGGTCACAACTAAAGCCCCACCAAAGTCTCTGGGAACTGCCTTGACACGAGAGTTGGCCAGTACTATGAGGTCACCACCCCGTCCCTCGTTCCTTGTTGCTTATGGGCATTGAGGTCACAGATGAACAAAATACCTTCCCTACCCCTCACGCCTGGCTGACACTGCAGGCCTGAGTCAGGAAGAGCCACAGCTCCAGCGGAAAGCTCGGTCACTCGCATTCACACGAGCACCATGAGGTGCGTGCCACCGGCCTGCGTGAGTATTCGGTGGGCTCCTACCTCGAGCTGGACCCTGTGCTTGGCGCCACTGGGGTGGTCTACGGCCTGGGACAGAAAGGGAGGCAAACCAACACTGCTCACGCCACGCTGACATCTGTGCCTTACCAATCTCCTCTCCACGGCTCTGAGCAGGCTGTGTCCCACCTGGTGTTCTCTTCCTCCTCCACCCACCTCCCCACGGCCCAGGCTCTGCAAAGTCAGGGAGAACTGAGTCCAAGGCCCTCCTCTAGCATCCACATAATCGTGGGCAAGTTACTTCTTTGGAGAAAAAGGGCAGTCAGTATCTATTGCTCAGATATTTTCTCATAAAGATTATATAGAACACTGACCTGGAAAGGCCCTTCGCAAAGTGCCAGGCACTGGGAGAGTACAAAAGTGCTTGACAGGAGGCTTTCGGTGACCAGAGATCTGCCTGCGACTTTCCCCTTCCCTGAATTCCTGCCACGAGAAATAACCGAGCCGCTCCTTTGGCCCTTTGCAAACACAGCTTCTTCCTGGTGCCAGTCTTCCTGCCCTGTTAGCTCATTCCCCAGCTACAATGCAAACTACGCTGTGCCCACAGAGGTCACTCGATAAATATTTGCTGATTGATTAGCCAGTGAAGAGTAATCAAGGTCTACGAGGAATGCAATTTCCCAAACACAGTGAGGCAAGTAAGAAATGCTCTGGATGAGAAAGAGGTGAGCCAGGTCCTTAGAAACAAGTGTTCTGCTCCGATGGCAACCACTGCCCCAGAGAACCTACCCCGCAAGTCCCTGAAGAAATGAGCCCTAGCTTGTCCGATTAAATGCCTGAGGCCAGCTGGGCAGGGTTGCAGAATTCTTCCCCCCACTGCCAGATCCTTCCATAGTCTCCTACCCAAGATCCTCATACCATCAGCCAAGGGCAGGGGCCACACTCCCATGGCCCAGAGTGGTGTGAGCGCAGCCCTTTGCTGGCCCACAACCAAACCTTCTCAAGGAACCTCAGAACAAAAGTGACAGGTGAGCAACCTGGCTTCCCAGCAGGGCCTCACCGGGAAAATGGCCCTTGAATGGGATCAGAGCCTTCTTCACCATTGCAGGGCCGGCCAGCGCCCTCCCTGACACAAGCTTGCTTAGAGGGCTAACTCCCCCGTCACTCTTGGGAGACCCCCGCTTTCCACCTAAACCTCTCCCCTCCCTCTGACTGGTTCATCCCCACAGACTTTCATGCTCCCATTTTCCTTTTGCCTTTTTTTCAGGGGGAGGGGGACTGTCACTCCACGCACTGGGGAAAAGACACCTTTGGAAGTGGCAACCCTCATCCAGAAGTAGGCCAGGTCAGTATCGGGCTGTGCAACTCATTGGAAAACTCTGGGTTGCAAGAGGCCAAGCAAACACATGAGTCAGCTGGAAGCTAAGCACTCGGAAGATACAATAATCTTCTCAGTTGAGTCCATCGACGGCCATTAAAGACCTCTCACGGACTCAAAGCAGAAACCCATCTCAGGGTTTATACCATGCTCAGGCCCATGATGTCTCCTAAACACCTGATGTCCCCTCAGGTGTTCCAAGTCCACGTTCAACATTCTCCCCCTGCCCGCCCTGATCGGGTGTGCTGACACCACTGAAGCAGCATGAAGAGCTGCTGAGAAATGGCACACTCAGGTGGTGGGACTGGAGAGGCATGCGTGAGTGTTTACACGCATGAGTGTAAACACATAAATGAGTGTTTACACATAAATTGGAGGTAAAATGGTTTATTGGTTTCACTTAGCAATAACGCTCCAGGACCACATGGCTACTTCGGTAACCAGCGAAAAAGCTACTCAAGGGAAGAGGTAGCCTGAGTTTGAAAACAGACACCAACAAATGAGCTCTACAACCACATACAGTTGAGTTTACTGAAAAAAATACCAACAGCATAGCAAGGGACCAGACGTTCCAATTCTCCTCTTTCCAAGAAAGAGGCCCATTTCCTAAGAGGCGCGCAGTCCACTTTCCGTGACCACTTCAGATAAGGAGCCCTGCTAGGCCCTAGCACCACAGTTAGGGGGTGGTCCCATTCAGAGGCAGCAAATCACTCTCACCAGCCCACTCCTGGCCCCTAAATACACACCACCTGGGCCAGGCAGATTCACAGAGATCTTTAAATCGTGGAAAGGAAACCCTACAACAATGGATGTCAAGCACTTACTCAGGAAGGTGTCTAGCATATATAGCAAGCACTCTGTAAACACTGATTCTTATTATTACCCTATTTCTTCAGCTCGAAGTCTTAAGTTTTCAAAAATTTTAACATTTGTGTAGTAGAGTACTCCATACTATATTTAGGGGTCTTCTTATCCTTCTATCCCCCAGGCTGTTAGTAAAATAATGGTGTGTCTAACCTCTGATGAGGCTTAGAATCAGTGCAATACGGTTACAGTGGTCAGACCTGTGAACTGGGACATGGAGCCAGGGGAAGGCGCACACCAAGGGGCTGCCTTCAGTCAGGCTGCTGGGCTCCCCAGGTTCAAACAGGGGTCTGAGAGGGTGCCTGGGCCAGGGGAAGAGAGGAGGATGTGGCCCAGAAGCCAAGGAGCTGGAGGCAGCAGGTCTGAGAGGCCTGGAACCCAGACATAAAAACTCTCCTTCAAAGGTAACGCTGAGAAAGGACATCTGCGTACCAGCTGGGTCAACTGGCCACGGGGGGTGGGGGCAGAGTGAATGTCAGTTCTTGTTCTCCCCAACACTAATCCCACGCAGCTGGGCAACATGGCAGGAAGGCCACATGGGTCCCTGAGCAAGAGGAAGGAGGGAGCCACACAGCTAGACTTAGAGGAAGCCCTAAGGTGCCAGCCGAGATGGAACAAAGGAGACCCCGTCGCAGGGAGGGGGGCAGTAAGGCGACAGAGGCCTGGAAGGGAAAGCACAGCAGGTCTGGGGGCCCAGGCTGCGAGGAGGGGAGAGAAGCTCGGGCCAAGGGCCTGAGGAAAAAGCAGAGGGGAGGGAGCAAAAATGGAGTTGAAGGATGTGAAACTGGGGGAAGTGGGAGGGGCAGAGGCAGAGGTGAGCGGAGGTTAGGGGCCCTCCGTGGGGCAGGTGGGTGAAGAGGGTCAGCCTGGGTCGGGTGAGGGGTGCGGGCCTTCCCTCCTTCCCCAGGCTCCTCACCTTTGACATCGTTGGCCAGCGCCTTCCACGTTGGGGCAAAGGCAATGCAGTGGCCGCACCAAGAGGCGAAAAACTCCACGGCCCAAGCGCTGCGGGAGTCCAGCACGGTGCGGCGCACTGTGTCCGCCTGCAGCAGTGTCAGCGGGTCGGAGGGCGAGTAGAGCGCTGAGCGTGGGGCCGCGTCAGCCCCGGGCACCGCCAGCAGCAGCAGCAGCAAAAGCAACAGCGGCCCCGAGCAGCGGCTGCACCACCCCATCCTTCGCGGCTGCGCCCACCACCGCGCACAAGTTTCGGGTGAGTTGGTGTTGGGAGGCGCCGCAGCACGTCCTGCCTCCGTCCGGTAGGAGGAGCCACGTGGCTCCGCCCACATCGCCCCGCCCCGCCCGCTCACTGGCCAGTGGACAGCGAGTGGGCGGGGCGGGACCTGCGCGGGAGGCCAGGCTGGCCGCGAGCGCCCCCTCGGTTGCTTACCTCAGAGCCGCGCCGGAGTTTACGGATCCAGGAGCACAACCCAGGTCCTGGAGCCCCCACCACCAGAGGAAACGAGAGGGGGCATCCGCGGGCAGAGACTGGGTCAGCTTTCCTTGTAGCTGCCGGGGACTTGGGGAGGTCATTTGGCTTTTCACAGGCCCTCATATCCAACCGAAAATGAGTTGGCATAAGCGATAAGACATTGTAAATTAAAAGCCAGTGGGAGAGAAGACGACCGGTGGTAGGAGAGGGTCTGAGTCTTCGACCACCTTGACCTGCACAGGGATTAGATGGGCCCACACCCCGCGAGGCCCTTGACCTTCTAAGGGAAACATTATTTGACGTTTCGTGGACGAGAAGCCCCCTCCCCGCCTTATGCTGGGCTGGATTGGCATGGCCATTGCCTTGGAATCGGGGTTCCTTGGCACAGAGGTCTGCCACCCTGTTAAGTTTGTTTGTGTGAGAACTCCAGCTGGAGCTCCCAGCAGCCCAGGTGCCCCACATCTAACTTGTCCTTGCAGCTCTGTGTACTCAAATGTCCCTCTCACGAGTAACCTGATAACGACTCGTGTGTTCTTGTATGCTAAGTTGTCAATGGTTAATTTTCCTTAGTCACCTTTTGCAGCTCTAGTGCTGGGCTATTTTCAGGAGAGAAGGTGCTGCTTAGAGGGTTGGTTGTCACAAGTGATCTTTTTTCTCTTTCTTTGCCGGGTTAGCCCACCTGGCCTGTAAGCCATCTCGGACTAGATTCATTCTTCATTCAACATTTACCATGTGGTTTCTGTGTGCCAGGCCCTGCTCTCAGTACTGAGCATAAAGCAGTAAATAAAACCAACACTCTATAGTCATGGAACTTAACTTCTAGTGGGAGTAGGGATTGAGAGATGATACAGAAGCAGATGTAGAACTGATGGTAACAAATACTATAAAGAAATATACAATAGTGTGAAAACAGAGTGACAGAAATGCTTTCTTTTTGCCGCTAATATTTGCAGGGACAGGATCGACAGCACAAGGCCCACATAGCAAGTTAAATCTTGACGTAAATTTTCTATTTTTCCAGCCTTCACATTTACTTTCATAATAATCTGGAAGAGCAAACTTAAGTTTAGAATTCTTGGACTCCCCAAGATGTGCACTGGAATGGGGCAGCTAAAGCGGTAAGTGGTCCCTGGCCCTTGACCTTCCCGCTACTCTTTGCACTCCAGCTCCATCACTTACGGCAAGGGGCCTGTGTCCGCATCTGCAATGTCCCTATCCGCACATCTGAGATCCACTCACACCTCCTGCAAAGAGCCACTCTTTGGCTCCTCAAGAGGATAGGTAGACCTTGGGAGAAAGCCAGTGCAGTCTCTAGAAGCTGACCTGCTGCTATTGGGGCACTGAGTTGTCAGGCCTTGGGTACCATAGTATTACATAAAAGGAGTAAAGAGCAGGAAGTTTAGGTGGGTACATCCCCTTGGCACAGGGGTGTCAAACTCCTTTTCACCAGGGGCCACATCAGCCTAAAGGTTGCCTTCAAAGGGCCAAATGTAGTTTTAGGCCTGTATAAATGTTACTACTCCTTAATGAGGGGCAAGGAGCTTGGCGCTGCCGCCAGATAGAAACAAGGTGCCGGGCTGGATAAAACAAGGTAGAGGGCCGGATTCGGCCTGCAGGCCTTGCGTTTGCCACCTGTGACTTAGCCTATGGGTTTCTTGCTCTGTGAAAAGCAGTGTGGCTGGGAGAGGGCCAGAGAGCTTAGAACCTAAGTTAGGGGTTCCTCTTGCCCCAGTTCTAATGAGGTAACATTTGAGCCAAAGACCCAAATGAAGTATGGGAGGCAGCCCTATGGCATTCCCGGGATAAGGGCATTCCAGGGGGAGATCCGGAGGTTTGGGTGCTAGCTGTCTTCATGTGTTCATATTCTCTGTGTGCAGTCTGGAATCCCACAGAGAAGTTACACATGGCCTGGTCAGAGTGTTAGGAACTGCCCAGTTCCCCCAGCCAACTCTGGGTAGTGGGTACCCACTTCCCTCACTCCTTGCAGCCCCTGGGACCAGGCCTGGCCCAGGATCATCAGGAGACATGGTCCCCCAGTAACTGTGGATTCCAGGGACTGGAAGTAGTTCAGCAGCTGGATCTGGTGCCAGTGAAAGTCAAGTGCCTTCCAATGTCTCCATTGTTTAACAGCCTTGTAGTTATCTTCCCCAGGGGCCTGGTAATTATAGAGACAATGTATGCAGAGTGTTCCAACCTGGGAAAGACACCCCAGCTGAGGACACAAAGATGTGCTTATTCAGGTATCTGTTTCAGAGTGTCAGAAATGGAAAAGAATACCAACCATTTGAATAGATTAGAGAAAGTTTCTTGGCAATGAGGCCAAAGCAATTGAGACTGAGAATTATAAAATCTGGGGTTCCAATATCTCAGAACAGGGATTTTCAACTTTTTAAAGTCTTGGAAGCCTTTGTTTAAATAGAATCTTGAAGAAAAAAAAAAGCTTAAATAGACAAAAGCAAGCTGAAGGGCGTGACCTAAAGCAACACCCACTCTCTCGGTTCTGTGAGTCTTCTTAGGAAGCCCAGGGCGCCCCAGGCCACCATTGGAAAACCACTAGTCTAGAAATGAGAGCAGAAAATAAAAGAATCACAACTTGCCCTGCTCACCCTTCCAGATGCTTCCTGGGAGGAAAATTTTCCTTCCAGAGAAGGAAATCTCAGGAATGAGGCACAGAGAAAGGGTGACAAGGAAAGCCTCGGAAGTGGGGTGACTTAGGAATGCCTCCCTAGGTCCTCTGTCCCTCTTCCTACATGCAAGCTGTAGGAAAGTGAGCCAAGATGACTCCAATGAGAATAATAATAGCATTAGCTACTCCTTTGCACCTGCTGTTCTAAGCACTTGCTGCTATCACTCATTTAATTCTCACGCCAGTTCTACAAGGCAGCAGTATTATCCCACTTTACAGACGAGGAGACTGAGGTAGAAAGAGACTTTCCCACTTGCAATTCATTCACACGTTATGCGTGAATAAGAAAGAGGGAATTTGGGAGCCTGTCGGCCACCACTGAGGTAGCCAGTGAGAGAATGCATCTTCTACACCCATACAGATCCTTATTATGAGGAGCAGGATGGTCTTGGGTGAAATATGTCACCTGGTAGCAGAGCATTAAGTGACTTGCCATCCACTCATTGGCAATGGAGTTCCGAGAGGTGTGTGGCTGGCAGGTGAACGCCCAGCAACAAAGAAGTGACCTTTGCTTTGTCCCTTCACCACGCACCTCTTTCTAGATGCACCTTCCCAAAGCTGAGGTTAGTTGGAACGCCAGTTCGGAGAGTGTAAGAGTCTGAAACTGTCCAGCCTGGCAGGAAAGCGAGACACGTTGGCAGGGCTGGCTGAGGGGGGTTACAGGGACTGTTGACAAAGGTGCAGGGGAACTGGCAAGAGCTGTGAGGTCCCTAGCGCCCACCAACAGCAAGAAGTTCTTTCAGCACGCTTCCTATGGGGAAGGGGTGAAGATAAAGGGGGGACTGTGGTGAAACCCGTGGGGGCTGGAGTCCAGGAAGAGGGGCCACCCAGTGGGAACTGTGACGGCAAAGCGCCGCCGCCACCAACACAGGGAAGCAGGAGGCCCCAGGAAAGTCTCACTTTTGCCTCTTCCTCCTCCATCCTCTGACGCCTTGCCTGTACCTCCCATTGGCCAAACCCCATGGAAGCCAGTGTTGAGGGGCCCTGATCAGAGTCCATAAAAGTGGGCTCCCGAGACAAAGGCAGCTTCGAGGACACTGCAGTGTGGAGAGGGCTGTACCTAGTCCAGGGTCTCCAAACTGGGGCCCTTCGAGACCTCAGAGATGAGAATGGACCACCCGAAAATCCCTGACCGTCTTCCTGTGGGAATCTCCTGGGTGGGAGTGGGGCTGGAAGTCTACCCGGCCAGCGGAGAGAGCGCGCCCTTGGCGTTCCGTGCGCCTCCTCCTCCCGTGCTCACACCGCCCAGTGGCCTTATTCTCTGTCGGGAGAGGACACCGGGGCCCAGCGAACCTGGAGGGTCTTGCTCAAGGCCACACAGCAAGGTGATGGTAGAATCCGCTTTTTGGTCAGGCTTTCCAACCTGGCCGTGGAAGCACTGAGAAGGAGGGACATCTGTGAAAGTGATAGTCAGGGCGAAATGGCAGTTCACAGGGAGCTCCCTGGTCCCAGGTTGAGAGTGGGAGAGGCATGTGTGGGGACTGCGAGTACATGAGAGCTCTGCGTTCAAAGGGACCAGGGACCACCTCACTCCACTCGCCCTCCACCCCCATCTCTCTCACACACACAAATACACACACACACACACACACACACACACTGATTATTAAAAACGGAATGACTTTGGCTCATGCTGTCTCCTTTGATGGAAGTAGGCAGAGCAACCAGGATTAAAACGGTGGGGCAAGCCCTGGCTGGTGTGGCTCAGTTGGTTGGGCACCGTCCCAAAAGCAAAAGGTTGCCAGTTGGGTTCCCAGTCAGGACATGTGTCTGGGTTGCAGGTGAGGTCCCCAGTCAGGACACGTGCAAGAGGCAACTGTTGGATATTGCTCTCTCACATCCACGTTTCTCTCCTTCTCTTCCTCTCCCCCACCCCTCTCCCTAGAATCAATACAAAGTGACAAACAAATAAATAATGGGGCAGAAGAAACTGAGGCTCAGGCAGGCTGAAAAAGCTGCTCCGGGTTGTGTGTCCAGTAAGTAACAGACTGGAAGCCATCATGCAAGAGCTCCTTTTTCTCCTGCCCTTGGACTTGCACCTGTGCTCGTCTTGGCTTCCAGCATCTTCCTCTCATCAACACCAACCCCTCCACCTGTGCTCTCTGTTGGTCCCCTCTCATCACTCAGGGTCTTTGCTCCTGCTCCCCCTCCCCCTGGTCTTGCAAAGCTAACTCTTCCTCTACCAGATGGATTCATTTCTCCAGCAACACACATGCTAAAACCAACAGGAGGAAACTGCAGGATGACCCTCCGCCCGCCAGTTACGGCCCCATTTCCTTCCTTCTCGTCACAATCACGCTTTACAACAGAGTTAGTTGTCTGCGCTCACCGCCTGCACTTCCTCACCCTGCCCCTTCCTCCTCCACCGGCCCTGGTCTGGCTCCTGACCTCACCACTCCGCTGAGGCACCGGCTTCCTCTAGCTCAACCTCATACTGTCTTCACGCAGCTGCCATCTCCTTATGTGAAAGGCTTCTTTCTTTTGGCTTTTAGTTTAAACCATGTGAATTCATTTTTAATGCCTGCAGTAACAAATTATCACACACTGAGTGTCTTAAAATAGCACAGATTTATTCCCATACAGTTCTGTAGGTCAGAAGTCCGACAGGGGTCTCGTGGGCTCCGAAACCCAGGTGTAGGCAGCACTGTGCTCCCTTCTGGGGACTTTGAGGGGACTCTGTTTCCTCACTCATTTGGGTTGTTGGCAGAATTCGGTCCTTGCAGTTGTCGGACTGAGGTCCTATGTCTTTGCAGACCATCGGCCGAGGGCCACTCCCACGGTCTGGAGGCTGCCGCCTTCCTTGGCTCCTCCACTGTCAAAGCCGGCAGTGGTGGGTCAGGTCCCCCTCCTGTTTCAAATCTCTTCTCTTTCATCACCACACCTCTCCAACCCTGTCTTCCTCCTCCCTTTTTCATTTTTAGAGTCTGATGGTACGATCGGGCCCGCCCAGATAATCTAGAATAATCTCCCCACCTCTAGGTCTTGAACCTTAACTGCCTCTGCCAAGTCCTTTTTGCCATGACAGGTAATGTGTTCACGGGCTCTGTGGTTTGGGGTGTGGACATTTGGGGTTCACTGTTGGGACGGCCACACTGCCTTCCTCATTCTCCTCTGCCTCACCGGCACCTCCTGCTCGGTCTGCTCTCCCGGCTGTTCATCCTTCAGAAGCCCAAGACTCAGCCCTCAGCCCCCCTTTTTCTCTCTTACACTTTTGCCATAAGCAATGCCATCCAGTCTCGGGGTGCTCCCCTTGCAAACACATGCTCCTAAATTTTTATCTTCAGCCCTAAATTCACACTTGAGTTCAAGATTCCTCTGACCCAACATTTCCACTCAAATGGGTGGCTGCCGTTCAAAGAGCCAATCGCAGGCTTGCTCTCCGCCCACAATTCTCCGCCTTCCCTGCAGCCACCTGGCCTCCACCACCAGCCA